CCCATCTTTACCATGGCTACAGGAGGTAGAGGCCCACGACTTTCCAGTGGCAGACCTTCTTTTTCTGACAGAGGAGTGATGCCAAGGTCCTAGGGATCCCTTCTAAATCAGGATTTGGATATTCTTCAGAGAAAGATCCAAAATCATCCAAAGAATATGAGACCTCTTATCCATTTGGTGAAGCATTCCAAGCTGGCTATAGGTCGGCAGGGCTGCTGTCTCTGTCTCTCTCAGTTTCCATCATCTTCTCTGTCTCTCTCCCCTCTTTCCTATCATCTCTTAATCTCCCCTCAAGTCTATCTCTTTTACTTGACTCCATCATGTCCCTAAAAAAAAAAACCACCCTCATCAGAAAACTCAACACCCTTCCATATTATAGCAGCTTTGGAACTCACATCTTATCAGCACCCTCCATATCCTCTGGCCATCTCACTGGGGCATTGGAGTGAGGAGTAAAGCGTTCCTTCCGAGGATGGTATTTTAAAAGGGCTGCCAACCCTGTCCCCAGTGTACACACATATTTATGCATATGTAACATATATACATATATACACATATATACACACATGTACATATATACATAGCTTACAAACATCAACTATATCTTACATGTAATATATTACCCATATGTAATAAATGTTACATTTGTGTGGTGTGATATGTACTATATATGTGCAATGTTATTAGTCATGCTCCCATTATTTATGTGATATATATTAGATGTATGTATGTTATATATGTTGTATAAATGTCACAAATGTCACATGTGGCATATATGGTGTATATATATTATATATTTCTTATACATCACACACATACACACGTGTGTATAGATACATTGGTACTCACACTTCTTCATTATACTCAGCATATTCTGTCTTTATTTCTGTCTCAGTTTATCTCTGTCTCCCTTTCTCTGTCTCTCTCTATGTCTTTGTCTCTCTTTCTCTTTCTCTCTCTGTCTCTCTCTTTCCCTATCTCTCTCTGTCTATTTCTCTGTCTCTCTGTCTCACTCTCTCTGATACTGGGTCTTCCTTTCGCTCCTAGGCTGAAAATGTAGCCTCTCTTGGGTCAGATTCTATTGCTGAATGGCATGAAAGCTTTGACCTGCTCCATTTCTACCCTCGGCTGGTTTGCCCCTCCTTAAGCAGCCTGGTAGCCCCCAGGTTCGGGGAGTTCACTGTATTGTGCCAGATTTACTGTAGGCATCCAGTCAGCTTTAACCCTATTGAAGCTCAGAATTCCCAAACTCAAATAATCTGACAGCTTCAGCCTCTCCAGCATCAGGGGTTACAGACATGGGCCACCGCATCCAATGCTGCTGTTTCTTTGAAGGAATGTCCTTGAGTCAGACTCTGGAGGCTCTGTCTCATTATCCACTACCTGATGGTTGGCTCTGTCTTTCTCTGGTGTCGGCCCATGCCCATTCAGAGTGGCTGAAATCTTGGCTTCTCTCTAGGCCCATGGGGAGCACCAGGTTAAGAGCAAAGGGATTAAAAAATAATGGAGTTATACAAGTTGTACATAATAGATTTGCATTTTCATGTATAATCATCTTTTGTAAATTCTACTATGTTATGGAAATGCTTGTTTTGTTTCGTGAATTAAAAATAAAATTAAATGAAAAAAGAAATAATAGGTAATATGTTTAGAGAGGTAAAGTAGGTTTGATAGAGATATAGATATATAGAGTTTGACAAAGCTTCATCTGGCTTGGGGGTCAGTGGGCTTTGTCTTTGAGAGCCTCCATACAATGGCTGCTGTCCCCAAAGTGGTGCTCCACTAGGCAGCCTTTCCTTGGCAAAGGCTCTCCTTTGACAATGAGTACCTGTTAGTCTACACTCTCAGTTCCTTGGCTGGCATTTCTCTTATCACTTCTCCCTTCTGTACCAACTACCCCACCTCTGAAGGGACCTAGGTGAATAGCAGTGGGCTCTTCCAGGCTCCATAATCCCAAACACTGCTCACAATCTCCAGGTGACAACCTGAGGCAGTCAGGTCTGAGAAGAAAGCTGAAAAATGGACATGCCTGGGGAGTGCCACAGGACAAAAGCAGAAACACTTGGACACCAATAGAAGGCATTGAAATGCACTGTACTAATGTGGGTGTTTGGTAAAAGGCAAGTCTGCATTGGGCTGTATCCAAGGGTAGTAAGTTACCAATACCCCCCACCCCCAAAACAGAACTCCAGATAATATATAGTTCTATAATATCATCATATTGAGCTTTATGTGGCCAATATCATAGGATTTCCAACTGGAAGGGAAATTAGAGATAACCTAGTCCAATGCTTTTATTTTGCACAGGAAGAACTAAGAAACAGAGAAGGAAGGTCACTTGCCCAAGGTAACACAGGTGTTAAGTAGCAGAATCAGAATCCCAACCTACATCTTCTGAAGCCATCACAGTTGCTTATTCCATGACATCCTCTGTCTCTAATGCTGATCCCCACCAAGAAGCAAGAAATTCAGCAGATTTCCAATTGATAAGTGTTTGTGAAGAGCCTGCTATGTGATGGGTACTGTCCTAGGCACTGGGGATACAAAGAAATGAGTGAAAATAATCCTAAGTTTCAAAGAGCTTTCATTCTATTGGATGCCCACATCCTGCTTAGTGCCACATCACATGAACGATATAATCACAAATGGTAATTAACAGTCAAAAAGGGTTATATAAGAAGATCTAGCTTCCTGGAGGATGGGAGAGGAATCATTTGGCCACTACAGCTGAGTCAGTCAGGCAATAAGCATTTATTAAGTGCCTACTATGTGCCAGGCACTGTGTTAAATTCCAGGAATATACAGAAAAACTATCTATCTCCACCCTCAAGGAACTTCCTTTTGAATGGGGACATTAACATGAATATAATATTGAACATACAAGACATACATAGTGTGAATGAAGGTAATCTCAGAGAGAAGGCACTGACAGTGGGAGGGACCAGGCTGCTATTTAATAACAACTAATATTTATGTAGCTCTTTGAAGTATGCAAGGGTCAGGTAGGTGGTGCAGCAAATAGTGTGTCAGGCCTGAAGTCAGGAAGGCTCATCTTCCTAAGTTCAAATCTGGCCTGAGAGGCTTACTAGCTGTGTGACCCTGGGCAACTCACTTAACCTTGTTTGCCTCAGTTTCCTCATCTGTAAAATGAGCTAGAAAAGGAAATGGCAAACCATTCCAGTATCTTTGCTAAGAAAATGAAGTTATGAAGAGTCAGACATGACTGAAAAAGACTAAACAATGACCAAAAAAAAAGTATGCAAACAGCTTTACCCATATTATCTCATTTGATCCTCACAACACCCTTTGTGGTAGATGCTACTGTTATCCTCATTTTACAGATGAGGAAACTGAGGCTAAGAGAGGTAGAGTGACTTGCCCAGGGTCATAAAGCTAGAAAATGTCTCAGGATTCAAACCCAGGTTTGCCTGGCCCCAGGTCCAATACTCCATTCACTAAGCCACATTGCCTGTGAACTACTGTGAGAGCTCTTTGCACAATAGATCATTAGAAGCCTGGGCTTCTAAAGAAGTCATTCTTTGACAGAAGCTGAGTTCAGGTTGCTGGGTTTTGTAACGGGAGTTGTTTCAGGTGAGAACTCTTGGTTCTAATGGTGCTTCAGTTTTACCCCAGAATAGGTCTCCTCCAAAGCAAGTATCTGGCCTGGGATGTTCAATCTCACTGCACTTGGTGTACTTCTCAAGGAGAACACCCTTACCGTCCATGCTCACCTCTCTTCAAACAAGATGGTTGGCATTTTTCAGTTAAAGGATCATCCTTATTTCTGCCCTCTCCTTCTACCACCCTGAGTGATCTTTTCTAGAAAATAGAGCATGCTGCATTCGGGAAGGAGAGGGGTGTGTGTGTGTGTGTGTGTGTGTGTGTGTGTGTGTGTGTGTGTGTGTGTGTGTGTATGCGTGTGTGTGTATCCTCCACTGACAACATTTGGGGAGGATTGGAGAGACATTTACATGGGCAGATGTGTACAGAATACATACCAGGTGATTTTGGAGTGTGGAGGGCACTAGCAGAATTAGGAAAGGCCTTAGGCACAAGTTGGCACAGGCTGAGTCTTGAAGGAAATTAAAGATTCTAAGAGGCAGATGTGAGAAGGAAAGGCATTACAAGCATGGGACAAAGACAGTACAAAGGCATGACAAGGTGGGATGCAAGGAACACTGAGAAGGCCAGGTCGAATGGACCTCAAAGTGCAGGTTGGGGATCCTGGGCACACAGTAGGTGCTTAATAAATGCTTTTTGGATTGATTCTCCTGTTGAAGCTATAGATGACCGTGGGCTATCAAAGACAATGCCTACCAGTGCATAAGTTCAGGCAAGTTGAACAAAACTGGAAAAGACTTCAAGAACAGGACTAGAAACAGTCTTGATGTGTCTGGTGTGTGAGGATGAGTGTAATTAAGGGCGAAAAGGCTCATCACCAGGTTGGCTGCAGGATGATTCCACAACAGCAATGGACAAGGACCATTAACTATGATACAGCTATCCACATTGGTAGAAGGAGGATACTCACAAAATTATAGAGCACTAAACGTTGATGTGTGCATACATATCTCTATATCTCTTTGTACTCACATCAGTCCAATATGTAGATGAGTATATGCATGTGTGTGTGTGTTGCACGTGCATATTTATGCATAGATACTTCAAGTATTATGTATAGATACATATATATATGATATTATATATATATATATATTTATTTATACACACACATACACACACACATACTTCTACATCCCAATTAATCTTCCCAAGTGCCCAACTCATAAATCCCATCTGCCGAGTCTTTTTGAGCAAGCAGAAAGTATTTAGGAACTCCATGACACTAGAAGAATGAAAAGAAGGTGTCCTTTACGAGCCCCCCTCCAAACTCACTCTTTGTTTATTACATCATAAACCTTTCACCCAAGTGGTTCATCACTGAGCAGAGTACAGACGGTACACCGGCAGCACCAATTTCTTTATGCAAAGGTCGGTACCTTGTTCGAAGATTCCCTTGCTCTGGTACTCCATCAAAGACGGACAATACATCAAAGTCCTCTTCCAGTGCAAAGGCGTGGAACACAAGCTGTATCCTGTTCTGTTCCTCGGCTGTGATGATCCATGTGCAGTTGGCATAGTTGGGATAACCATACGGGAATCCAGGGCTCTCGACTGTTCCGTTGGGGCCTTGCAAATTGAATGTGCAATTCTGGCCTAGGAAAGGGAGGGGAAAGACATGGTTAGGCAAATAGAAGTGATCTGGTATAGTTTTGGGCTTGGAGTTGGAAGATTTGCGTTCAAATTCTGCTTCTGGCATTTACCAATCTGTGATTCTAGGCAAGTCATTTAACTTCTCTCAGTCTCAAGTAACATACCAGGATTTATCTGTTAAATTTCTGAAAATTTAAAATAGTAGGTCATGCATAGAGCATGCCTAGGGGGCATAGGTAGTGAATTCTATTACCAATGAAAACATACCCATCAGGGGCAGTGCAGTAGAGGTCATTAAAGAATTGTATGGCTAAAAATGGAGATGGGCTGGCCACATAGCCAGGGTAAGGGACATCAAATGGATAGTCCATGTTCCAAACTGGTACTCACAGAAAGTCAAGTGGTCTAGAGAAATGCCTTCATAGACCTCTTTCATCCCTTGCCCCCACAGAAGCGTTATGAGGGCATGGGTGAGAGTCCTTTGGGATGAGAAAACACAGATTGGTTGACATTGCTTTACTGGGAAGAATTCCTACATCAGTGAGATCAAAGATCCTTTGAAATCTTGAATTATAACAAATTCCTGACACCATTTTATTTTCTAGAGACAATCTCTCTCTTTTCCTGTAGTGGTTGTAGAAAGAAATCCCAGATGACTGAGCACCTGTGTTGATGGACTATGGTAATTAAGGTTTTCTCTATAAACCAAGCACCGCTGTGTATGTACAGAGAGTGAGGTCTCCTTGGTGCTAAAGGGGGAGGTAAAGATGAAGAAGGCAGTCCTTGTTCTCAAGGAGCTTACAGTCTAGTGATGACATGTACAAAAATAATACAAAATAGTTATTTGTAGGAGAAGTATTAATTACCTTCTGTGTGCAAAAAGGTTCAACATCAAAAATGGATAAGGTTTTATTCAATGAAATGGCATTAATGAAGCTATATTAACATCTACCATCTACGAGGATATTACTGCATCCTAAGATCCATGGAGCCTTTCCACCTAACTTGCAGCTGAAACCTGTCTCCCTCTATCAGAATGTGAGCATGGAGGATTAACGTGAGCATTAGGCTTCTCCAGAAGGAGAGTGGAGTCTGTCTTATTTTTCTGTTTGTATCTCTACCACTCAGCACAATGCTTTCCACATATTAAGTTCCTAATAAATACTTTACTCATTCAGTCAAATTACAAAAGAGAAGCCTACACAAGGGGCAGGGAGATCTGAGGAGAGTAAGATAACTTCTGTCTTGGAATTTCAGGTGAGATAGTAATTGCTCCTCCAGTTGAGGAGTCAAGGAAGGGTTTATAAAGGAGATGGTATTTGACTCAAGCTTTGGAGGATGGACAGGATTCAATAGGCTTAGACAAGGGGAGGGGATTCCTGGAAGGTGAGGTGCAGAGGCAGGAAAGTGTTGAGTACATTTGGGGAACATACAAGCAGATCAAGCTGGCTGAAGCATATGACAAATGTGAAGGAAGAACGTGAGATGAGGCTGCCTCAAGCAGTGGAGGGTTTTGAATGACAGGATGAGATTGGACTTTATTTTGTAGACATTGGGAAACCAGTGAAAATTTGTGAGCAGCTATGCATTAAGGAGAAAAATTTGCTATTGATGTGTAGTCTAGGTTGGAGGTAAGGGGAGAGGTTAGGAAACCACCATAACAATCCAGGTGAGAGGTAATAAAGACCTATACTAAGGTGGTGAGAGTAGAAATAGGAAGAAGGGATGAATGTGAGAGATACTGGGGAGAACCAATTGGCCACGGGGGTGAGAAGGGATGGAGAGTCAAGCATTGGAAGTTTGGAGTCTCTTTGACTAATTGATTATCTCTCCACAATCTCTTCTCCATCTCTTCTTTCTGTTCTCACTCTCACCACCCTTAACAGAGACAGGTCAAGAAGAAGAGTTTTAGCCTAAAGCTGTTGGGTTCAGTTTTGAATTCAAAGACTTTGAAGTAAGGGTTTTCAAACAGAGACACTCTGTAGCCCAATAAGAAATGCAAACCTGAAGTTCAGAAGAGAGGTCTCAGAGGCAGCTAGGTGGTGCAGTGGATAGAGCACTGGCCCTGGATTCAGGAGGACCTGAGTTCAAATCTGGCCTCAGACACATAACACTTACCAGCTGTGTGACCCTGGGTAAGTCACTTGACCCCATTGGCTAGCCCCCCCAAAAAAAAACAAAGAAGAGAGGTCTCATCTGGGTGTACATATTTGAGAGTACACTTAGACATATTAGATGAAGCTCTAGAAAAGAATGAGATCACCAAGGGAGAAGATGTAGAAAGATGAGGGCAGAACCTTGATGAATTATTTTTTAAGAGGATACAAACAAGAGCTAGAGAAAGAAAATGGGTAGTGAAAGAGGTAGGGAAAAAACCAGAGGAGAGCAATCGATCAATCAAAAAGCATTTATGAAGGCCCTACTATGAGCCAGGATGTACACTAAGTGTGGGGGTTATAAAGAGAATGAGTCCCTACCCTCAGGGAGCTTACATTCTAACAGGAGAGACAATATGTACACATGTAAATATATGAGGATTATATACAAAATGAATACAAGGTTGTTTTTGGAGGAAAGTATCAGCAAAGTATCAAAAATATCTCAAGTCAGGAGAGGAATCAATATTGAGAAGGGAGGTGCTAGCCAAGAGTACTAAATGCTTTGGAGAAGTCGAAGAAGGATACTAAAAAACACCAATGAATTTGCCATGCAGGAAGACATGGGTAACCTTGAGCAGTGTCATTTTAGTAGGGCTAGTGAGCAGAGAAATCAAATTCCCAAGGACTGAGGATGGTGAGGAAGTAAAGGCTATACTCTTTCCAGAATTCTGGCCAGAAAGGGGACAAGAGGAGGAAGACTGTAGTAGGAGAGAGTGAACACCTGTATTACTCATTTAGGTAAATTATCTCATGTTCAGGCAGACTGGGGAAGTAAAGAGCTGAAAAAGATGATGGTATTTATGAATTGAATTTGGATTTCTAAACTGCAACTCCAAATAGAGAACTGATGGGCTCTTGGCTGGAGTTGGAAAGTACCTAATGAGGATCAGTAAAATATATGTGTGCAGTTATACACACATATACATATACATATTTACATATGTGTGTATGTGTATATATATACATACATATGTATGTATATATTTGCTTGGAATCTTGTGACTGATCAAGAAGGATTTCAATGGAAAATGGTGGAGAGAGAGAAATCTATCTACATATATCTGCCAAGTCAGAAACCACAGAAAATAGCATATGTAACACAGGAAGAAGAATATCAGTGTAGAGGGCCAGTAATTCAAAAGAGATAATATCCAAGAAGTAAGACAGCAATAAACCCACAGTTTCAGATGTCTGTGCCCAATTGCATAAAACATTGGTAATAAACAGGGTTGAGCTGGCGATTTTAATGCAAGGAGGCAAATTTGACTTCAGAGCTACCACTGAGATTTTATAGGATGGGACTTGTGACTAGAATATGGTTGTGGAGGCTTATACTTTATTCAAAAGGAACAAAATAGATAAAAGGAGTGAAAGAGTAGCATTATATATTAAGGAGATAGATGCATGTGAGGAAATGAAGCAACTGGAAGGGTAGCAAGCATTTGGTTGAGGACCAATACCAAGAGATACAGAAGCAGTATTGTTGTGGGAGTATATTATGGACCACTCGGACCGAAGAAGGAAACAGAGGTGTTCAGGGAAGATACAATATAGGAGCGATGAGAGATTCAATTACCTGGATGATAGCTTGACTTTTCTTTATGCCAAGAGCAGAGAAACTAATAAATTCCTGAAATGTCTTGACATGGTCATTTCATTATTGAAAAAGTGGAGGAAGCACTAGGGGAAATTGCTATTCTGGACCCGATTTTGACAACAACAAAAAAAAGAGGAATCTCTTGCCAATATAGAAATAATAGGATCTTTGGGAGGATGTGGCAAATCCTTCTTAAAATTCATAATATAGAAAAAATAGAAATTTGGCCATAGTCTTATGTGTATTTTGGAGTGTGTTTCAAAAGGTCTGTAAGAAAGATAAGTGGTATCATAGGAGCATCAGTTTAGAGTTGGAAGGGACCAAAGAGGCCGTTAAATGAGATCCCCTCATTTTACAGATAAGGAAGCTAAGACTAGGAAGAGTAAATGACTTGCCCAGGATCATAAGGGCCACCAATGAGAGTCTAAGGTGGATGTTTAACTCAAGTTTTCCTGATTCCAAGCCTAGCACTCTATCCACCATCCAACACTCTAAAACCCCCTTAGAATCCCCAAAGATAAAATTCAGAAGACAAAACCAGAAATGATTCAGATACAGAAGACAGTGAGAGATTAGCTATAAAGACCAATGTGAATGAACAAGGAACTTGGGGTGGGGGTGGGGATGGAGTGAAGAAGACAGATAAAGAAGATAGAAATAAAGGACAGACAACTAAGGATGAACACAAGAGAACAGCAAGGTTCTGTAACAGTACTAGAAGGAGGATTATATCTCAAGATAAGCTGAGGTTGCAGATGGGTGCTAAGGATAACTAAAGGCGCTCTTTCTTAAATCTATGGAGGGGGGAGGAGAAGGAATAGCAGAGTAGTACACATGCTTGGGGAAAGTGGTATAGTGGAGAGGAAGCTTTTATTCTGCTAATACAAAAATATTATTTTTTTCTACCAAAGAACATTAATTTTAAATTATGAAAGAGAGGTGGTATAGGCAGTTAGGTGGTATGGTGGCCACAACACTATACTTGGAATTAAGAAGATCTGAATTCAAAACATCTCTCAGCTTCAGTGTCTTCATCTATAAAATAGGAATAATAATAGTGTCTATTTCAAACGATTGTTATGAGGACCAAAAGGATAATATATACATAGTGTTTTGTAACCCTAAAAATACTATATAAATGTTGGATATTATTAATACTAGCTAATAATACTAGCTAACATTTATATAATACCTACCACATGCTTTAAAATAGCATCTTATTTGATCCTCATAACATCCCTGGGAGG